AGCTAGTGAAAAAGTAAGAAAAGATCTCTTTAAAACAAGTAGGATGCATGAAAAAATAATTCAATACCTGCAAGACGATGCAAAGATGAACAGTGTGAGACTAATAGGCATCAATGAGAAGAAAGGAGTCAATACAAATGATATAAAAAGAATATGGGCAGAAGTAATAGCAGAAAACTACCCAAATATGGGGCAACAATCTGACATTCATGTAACCAAAGCATATAGAACTCCAAATAACATCAACCCAATGAAAACCACACTCAGACATATAATAATCAAGATCCCAGAAATTCAGCATAGGAACAGTATACTAAAAGTCGCTAAAGAAAAGAAACAGATCACATTTAAAGGAAAACCCACTAGAATAATAGCAAATTTCTCTTCACAAACCATCAAGTCAAGAGCATGGAGCAAAGTATTTCAAGTCTTGCAAAAAAACAAATTCCAACCTAGACTGATATATCCTGCAAAGCTCTCTTTCAAGTATAATGGAGAAGGGAAATATTTCCATGACAAAGAAAAACTAAAGAATTTCATGATGACAAAGCCAAGCCTACCCAGACTACTAAATGATGATCTAGAGAGGGAGCAAACTGATCACAGCCCCATGAATGAGAATGGAAAGAACCCAACAAATAGGGCAAACAATTAAACAGAGGAGAATAAAAGGTGTACAATAGTAGTCTTTCAGTTATTCTTCTGTGTTCAGCAGCAAAATATTTCCATCAGCACAATTTACAAATGGACTTCTCTTCCACCCTATGGATCATGATTCCACCTGAGTCTACAGGGTGGATTTCAAAGAAATAGCTGTAGCTCAGCTCCACAAGTGAGGCCTAGCCACCAGTAACTGTCACGGTCATTATGCACGTCTACAACACACTAGAACTTTGTGTGATATCCTATCCTTAAACTGTTAAAAGTGCTGGTCATTTATTTGCCATTCCAGTATTTATCTTGTTTTACTCTTAGTACTTCTTGCTATCATGAAAACTTTTTCTTAGTTCAATTGTTTTGAAACATTTAATTTTTA